TCGTTCTACCTAGTCTCTTGACTGCTCTGGATATAGCGTGCTTCCATATCCTACAGCTGTCAGGTATTGGAGAGAAAAAGTCACAACTTTAGTGGTTTTGCGGGTAAGAGCTTGGGTTCCAAATACAACCGAATATATACTTAAGCTAGAAAGATACTAGATTCTAGAGATATTTAGATTCCCCTTCTTTCTATATTTGATTGAGAAAAAGGCCTAAATATAAAGAAAGCACTCATTTAATGAAAAGAGTAACTAGATTTTAGAGCTAGATTCCTCTTGAAATAAAGAAAGCCCTCTTTTAAAGAAAAAAGTAAACTTCTAGCCCATAAACGTAGACAAATTTTAATGGCGGCTCGACAACCAATTAAATCAGCTACAAAGTAATCGCTAAACTTGTGACAAAACTGAGCCGCCAAAACAGGCAGTCCTTAGCTTTGTTGTGATTGTGGCCCTTGAGCTACTGTTGTCGGCTCACCGTCACTGCCGACGCCTGAACATGCAACAATTGTTGCGTGTTCAACCGCCAATCAATGCCAATGACTGCTGGACCACAAAAGCAGCAGCAACCAGGGTCAGCTCTCCAGGGAAAGTAAAACATATTCCGAATATATTTTTAAAAAATGTTATATTTGAAGAATCACATTTCCTAAAAGAAGTGGCCTAATCGGACAGTTTGTTTCTCTCGAAAATGCAATATGTTGCATTACATTACTACTTTTATGACCTCGTCTGTATTTGGGAAGTGCACCATGCAACAGGGCAGAGTGGTGCATGCAGCAGAGCAGAAGCCACTGCAGCCGAGAACCGGCAGCAAGTTCGTCATCATCGTCGGCATCCACGACTCGGTCGGTTCGCTTAAATAGCCATAAATATGTGGAGTATGCGCCCCAGCTCCCGAGCCCCCTCCCGGCTCCTGGCTCCTCCCGGCCCGCTTCCGACCGCCTGCGTCCTGCGGGCTAAACGTGCTGCTGCTGTGTGGCGCCTAATGCGTGCGCCAAAACAAAACGTAAAAGAATTCTTAGAAAAGCGTCGCCGCGCGATCGGGCTCAGTGCCCCGAAAGGGGGAGTCGCGGCCACCGTCGAGTGGATTAAATGGCACAAACATGGCTAATTACATGTATTTAACACGCACACACCCGACAGTGCGACACAGTCCCTGACGAGTTCCACGATTATGGTCAAAAGCTCGGATGCAGGACAGGAGCAGCTGATGCTAAGCTGCCCGATTTCCCGGAATTATTTGCCAATCGATGGATATCTGAGCCATTAAAATGGGAGCGGCAACTCCCATCGGCGAACTCCGCGTTGTCAATGCGCGAATTTATTAGATTTTAAATGCAATAATTATTTGCATTATATGGACAGTGAAGCGCCAATCGGGAACGCCGCCGGAATGCACAAGCAGGCCCTGGCCTCCTCACCGTGTGTGGCTAGGAGAGCCAGTGCTTAGTATTCCGCCGGCCGCCCGGCGATCGCCAGTAGCTGCCAAACTGTGGACTCTAGTTACGGCTAATTCCATTCAAGACGAGCCCGGTCTGCGTGGGTGTAGTCTCGCTGCCTGAAGCCTGACCTCCGCCCGGCCGCCCTGCGCCCCAGTCGCCCGCTCTGACAGCTCAGGGACAGAGATTTATGCGCTGTAATTTCCCACTTTATTACAGTTTAGAGTTGCGTTTTCATAGTTTCGGCGCAGTTTGTCTCCTTAAGCTGCCATTTGCTTCAATTTCGAGCACTCAATGTGGCACTTTTACGGCCCTGGGCGAATCAGGGGGGCGGATCTGTATTGTTTAGCCAGTTTCCAAAGAGTTGGGCTTGGAACTACTTGTTTCTAGTACCGAATGCTTCCTGGTTTTGTCTTCAAAAGGATCTTTGTATCATTTGGGACTTCAGACAAGGGTATACTTCAGGTCGACTCTTTGCTCTCGAAAGCGTAACCACTCTGATCTTCGATTGGGAGCCCAGCGTCTGGAGCAAAAGCCAATCCGCCGATAGGGATCTGCTCCGGGCACTTCTTAATAAAGTTGTTGCCGGCATTATGACAACAATCGGCTAATCCCATTGCGCCACGGTCTAAAAATAGGTTCAGATTCGTGTTGACAATTTTCGGGTTTTGTTTGGCTTTGTTTGTCGTTTTATTGTCGAACGGATGGATTATCGCGGCCAGAAGATCAATGGCAGGACGGCCAGGGGGAAGCAGGCGGATATTTATATGGATATCTAGCAAGAGGGGCCCGCCCACTGATCACGTAGATCACGCTCCAAAATGAGGTGCCAAAGATAGGCCATTTTCAAAATGGATTTCCGAACAATTCTTCACTATCTCCGCAGCATGTCTTGCTCCTTTTGGCAATAATTTTCTGGCAGACATTTACACAAAATTTGCATGTTGCTTGTTGCACAAACTGCGCATAAATCCAATTAATAACATAATTATTCGGCAGGCCGGCCCCAGCTCGGCAGTCGGAAAAACAAACCATTTGAAGCTCATTTCAAGAGGCCGCCGTTGGATTTGCAACTCTCGGCGGTGCAGTGGTGCGGCGGTGCGTAGGCCGAGCCAGTTACTTGCCACAACCAGCATATGCAAATGGCTCATATGCTTCTCGGTTTTTGGCATTTTCTCGGTTTATGCCTAAATTGAAATATTGACTTTGCGCACTTAATTTTCGGGCTGGCAAATTTGAATTGCCAATCAGTGATTTCGGAGGAGAGTGGTTCTGTGGGGCAGGGGTCTGGAAGACTGTATGTTTATCTAAACAATGTGCAACATAAATTAGAACAGCAGTTAATGCCCGAAGCCAGCGAGTGGGTGCAATCGTGGGTGTAGCTCCGGACTAACCTCCGGCCCTTCTTGGGGCATTTTAGAAATATGATTTACGGTTTTGGGGATTTACCATCTAGGACTAGAAACCTTGGCAACTACGCTATGGTTCAACTTTGTCGGGTTCTACTGTATTGAGCCAACGAAGCAAACTGCAGAAATGGGGAGAAGAACGAATCCAAACAGAACCCAGATCGCAACCACTAGAGAAGTCAAACCCACCCACCCACACGTCAAGCGGCTGGCCAAGTGGAATCGAGTGCATACATTGCAACCTTCCATTCTTGTACAGCACGCCTCAGTTACCGTCGACAATGGGAACTGCGTTCCTGTTCGAATCGCTAACGTCTCCATTTGTTTCCAGCGTCTTGTTAGTTCATTTCAGATTTAATAACCTGTATATTTAAAGATCTTCTACATTTTAGAATGGAAATGCATATATTTCGAAACAAAACGCAGTTTGATATTTGTGGTTGTAGGTGTTAAATAGTGTAAGCAGAAGGTGGGGGATTAACTGAAAAATTAATATACTTCTATCCATACTATTAATTAAATAATATCCATATATACTATATGCTATATACTATACTAAATAATAATACAAATTATAGACCTTTTTCTTAACTTGTTGGTTGACGTTATTAAAATTTTCTCCCAAGCTTTACCCGAGGGAGAGTTAACTTAAACTCTTGAGGAATACAATATTTTATCTTGCATAGAATAGAAAAAAAATAGACTGTTTTCAATTTTTAAATTAATTTCGTCTAAACTAAGTGATGGAAATTTACAAAAACATATCTCGCGAAAAAGGAAGGTGTCTGGACGGGCTCAAATTTATGTTTGAAAATTATTAGAATTAACAGAATCACGGCCATTAAAGGGTTAAATCTTGAAACAACTCCATTCGTTGATAATTTGTGAAAAATTCAAATTAAGCTGTTCTGAAGAATTAAATATCCAGCCCGTTTCTAATAGAGGGCTTTCCATTCTGTATGGCACTAGCTCTTGGTTTCCAGCACAGCCCTGTTAGTGCCCTACAGCTAACTATTAGCACAGCCCTGCTCCCCACGACTGCAGTAGCTATTGCACACGGCCCCCTGAGGCAGTACTGCTAGCTGGCTCTCTGCCGCCGCGCTGATAACAAAAGCGCAGAGTACCGAGTGTAGTCTAGATAAGCACTCGACAAACACACATCGCGGAGAACGCGGTGGTGTGCGTGGGGCGAATAGTTGAACAAAAGTGTATACAACTCGAGCCAAAATAAATGCCTCGAATTCCCAGAAAGTGCCAATAATGCATAATATAGGGTCATATAAGAAATCCCATAAAAATAAAAAATAGCCTTAAGGATCTTAATCGATAAAAACAGTCGGAGAGCAACCCTTTCGACTCCAATTGGAGAGCTTAGCATCTCTGACGCAGTCTCTGATAAGACTTGCCAGTTCTGTTATTATTTACCGTTTGACGCGGTGTAAGGGTGGTAGCGGAAAATGGGTCTGTGGGGGGAGGCAAGAAGCGTCACACATCGAGGCCCCAATTATCAATCAAGCCCCAGCGATGCGCGTAGGCGCGACGCTGAGTCATAAAGGTGAGCAAGGCCCACAGACTCCCCCAATTTGATTAATCACCGCGGAGGGCAGCCTATTGGATTGTTTTGTTTTCGTGCCTTTTGTTTGTGTGAAGGGCAGTGCACTTGAAATGGAAGTCCGCCGCACCTGTGAGGCGGGCGACGGCGCCTGGCGGGTATTTTGGGTTGCAAGGAATTTTCGGCTACGGGTCCGTACGGGTACCCAAGTACGGGTTTCAAGTATTTTCAAAACATAATAAAAATTTGATTTTATGTGTGTATTTATAAGCGATGGCACTTTTTCTGTTTTTGTCTCCTTCCTTCGCTCAATTAATGGCGCGCACTTATACATACATACACAGCTCGCACACCCGAGCAGGCAGGGCAGTCATATTGCAGCATAAATCCGAGGCTGAGAATAAAACTGTAATTCGTCCCTGCCGAGAGAAACCAAACTATATATTTCTGCCCCACCACACAAACATGGGGAGAAGAAGAGGAGCAGCGTAGCACACATACACAGGGCAACTTTTTTCTCTCCTCTTTCACCCAACGTAGTTGCTTAAGATCGTCTTCCCTTCACGGAAAAACGCGAAAATCGATGTGCAACCTACTTACGCGTAATAGTGAACACTCGCCGCTGATTTATTTGCTCATTTTGTTCGACTTGGGCACCACCAAATTGTGTAAATTGTTTTTCAAAATTGTTTATCACGAAATGCACACACAGCTAGAGGTGGCGAAACGGCGATGGTAACATCGATTGCATCGATAAAAGCCCTGATCCGAGGCACCCTCTGTGGGGTAGACATAAAACCTTTCCCGATAGCTTTATAGCAACGTTTTAGGTTTAATATCGATAAAATTATTTTGCTTTTAAATTTTGTACATATCGATACTTCTATCCCCCATAACTTTTGAAAAATAAAGTTAAAAATATACATTTAAATTTTAAGATATAAATTGAAATTTTATTATTTTATACTTATTGTTATTGTGTTTTATACTTATTGTATAAAATATTATTATAATATTGTATCTTTAAAGTTTAAACATTTTCCGGATGAATTCCAGTATTTGTTTTATCGACCCAATGCCACCTCCAGCTGAGCGCGCTTTGTTTTTGTCGTAGCGTTTGCAAAATTAATTTTGTTGTTTACAAATTTTCTTTGTTTTTTAATTCTTAAATTTAAAGAAGATGAAGGAGTGTCCATACGGCGAGAAGTGCTACAGAAAGAACCCAATCCATTTTGGGGAGTTTTCGCACGCGCATTGTAAGTGCAAGAAAATAAAGCAAAAAATCAACTTAACATTCTTATGTATATCTTAAGTGGATGCGATTTATAAAAGTGGTAATGGAGCTGGGGACTATGACATCCCCGCAAAATACTCAAACGAGCTTATACACACCCAGTTAAAGCTTTTGGAGAAGCTGTTTCCTAAGGAGGGAGCCAAAAGGGAGAAGGAACCGAATCGTTCAGAACCAAAGCCGCCGGCAACGGCTGCTTCCTCCAGCTCCGGATCCTTCAGTGGCGCCTCTTCCAGTTCTTCCGCCTCGTCAACTGCGACAACTACAAGTTCATTTGGTGCCTCATCCCAAGACAGCTCTCGTTTGGCCAAAAAACAAAAGCTAGCCAAAAACATTAAGGACTACATACCCGTTGTGATAGAAAAAGGGGGAATGGCCAAAAAACTGGAGCAGGCTGCTCCTTATAACATGTTCCTTACCGCCATTACTGACTCGAAGCCCACTCACTCCGAACCTTTGAGTGTAACGCTGCAGGAAATCCTTGATGAGAGTCTAGGCGAGATCGAGAGCAGTGTTCAGATTAACTTTATGGTGGACATTGGCTGGCTTCTGGGTCATTATTACTTTGCGGGGATTCTGTAAGATCTTTGTTTCTTTTGTATATATATTAGTTCTTATCTGATGTCCACTTCTTACAGTGATAAGCCCCTTCTAGTGCTGTACGGCGACGAATCCCCGGAGCTTCTGAGCATCGGCAAGTTCAAGCCGCAGGTTACGGCCATAGGTGTCAAAATGCCGACCCCCTTTGCCACCTCCCACACAAAAATGATGCTGCTGGCCTATAGCGATGGTTCCATGCGGGTGGTAATTTCTACAGCGAACCTGTACGAGGACGATTGGCACAACCGCACGCAGGGTGTGTGGATCAGCCCGAAACTGACCGCGTTACCTGAGGACGCGGATACAGGGGCGGGCGAGAGTCAGACAGGCTTCAAGCAGGACCTGATGCTCTACCTGGTGGAGTACAAAATAAGCCAACTTCAGCCCTGGATTGCGCGAATTAGAAAGAGTGACTTCAGTGCCATCAAGTGAGCTATTATACCAGGAACCTGTTATAATTAACTTAAATTCATATCCCTCAGTGTCTTCTTTGTGGGATCCGTACCTGGGGGTCATCGTGAAAGCACCGTACGAGGCCATCCTTGGGGTCACGCCCGCCTGGGAGCCCTTCTGGCAAAGCACGCTGCTCCCATCAACGATCGCATACCCGTCGTTTGCCAAAGTTCCAGCATCGGGAGCCTGGGAGCCAACGTTCAGGCCTGGATCCAGCAGGACTTCGTTAACAGCCTCAAAAAGGACTCCACGCCTTTGGGAGTACTGCGGCAGATGCCGGCCTTCAAGATGATCTATCCCAGTTTTGGAAACGTTTCGGGGAGTCACGACGGAATGCTGGGCGGCGGCTGTCTGCCTTATGGGAAAAACACTAATGACAAGCAGCCGTGGCTGAAAGACTACCTGCATCAGTGGAAGTCCAACGATCGCTATCGCTCACGAGCGATGCCGCATATAAAAACCTATACCCGCTACAACCTGGAGGATCAGTCCGTGTACTGGTTTGTGTTGACCTCGGCCAACCTCTCGAAGGCAGCCTGGGGCTGCTTCAATAAAAGCTCGAACATTCAGCCCTGCCTGCGAATCGCCAACTACGAGGCTGGTGTCCTCTTCCTGCCCAGATTTGTGGTGAGCTTGTTGAATTCTTTAGATTTACAAAATGGATTTACTACAATTCTTAATATTTTTCAGACGGGAGAGGATACTTTTCCTTTGGGGAATAATAGAGATGGCGTGCCAGCCTTTCCGCTGCCCTACGATGTCCCTTTGACCCCATACGCTCCCGATGATAAACCTTTTCTAATGGATTACCTTCAGGGTTGAGGTTCTTTAAATTTTGTTAGCCACATCAGCTTACATTTTGTGTGTTTGTTAGATTAAGTTAAAGTATTTATTTATTTTTTCCATTATTATGCTTACAATTTTTTTGTTTATAAATCTGATGCATCGAAATTCCAAAGCGGGCCTGAAATGGTTTGGCAAAAAAGATAATCTCGTTAAGATCGGGAAGTACATCTTTGTTGATTCTTAATGTCCTTCAAGCAGAAAAGCTCAATTTAATGATTGGCATTTTGAGAAAATTTTGTTCCCAATTCTGGGCACCCTTGAAAGGACTTTAAAAATTGAAAAGTTTTACAGAAAGTTACTAAAAATAAAGATATACTTATAAATATGAGATAATAGTTATAATTTATGAGAGATACATATGATGGTTCTTAATATATGGGGCTTTTTTATCGATGGAGTAATGCATTCCATAGAACTATTTAAGCACTAAGCTTTTCATCGGCAGCCCACTTTGATTTTTTTAACAGAAGCAGAGAATGGTGTTCTATTTTCTAAATATTAAAAATTTATTCATCGGCCAATTATTAATAGTAGTAACCGCGACACCTTCATATTTTGGAACAGTTGTCAACGTTGCCACAAATACAACTGCCTCATTTGGATCTGCAAGGGCCGGATGTTTATGAAGTCCATCCTCGGCACCGATGTGCACTTTGTTGGCTAGCCTGGCCCCCACTCTCGGTAGGTGGTTGGAGTTGACCCACCTTATGGTGAAAGATCTAGTTTAGAATTTGTTAAACAAATTCCTAAAAAGGGCCTCAAGGACAAGTCGCTAGAAGTAATGAAAAAAAATGAATAATATTATTATACTAATTTATTTTGAGAAACTTACCTCCTCATTGTAGCGGTCACGTAAGGCTGAGGGTACATTTTCCTCAACCAGCCTTTTGAAATCCAAGAGGATTTGAGCAAAATTCCTCTTGGAGAGTGTGTGATGAGATGGGTGGCAAACTCATCAATGTGAACCACAGAAGTGGTTCAAGTCGTACAGCACTGGAATCCCATTATGCTGCAGATATTGAATGGCCTCCAGATTGGCGGTGCATTTGTCTGCCACAGCGCCGGCCAATTTGGAGGTCAGCTCGGGGTTTTCCTTATGCTGTTTAGGGCCGATTGGATTCCCTGCAAAATAGCAGCCGAACCCATCTTTTCCATGCCACTTGATGCCTATAAAAATGAATTTCATTTACACAAACATAATACATAATATTATTTATTACTTACAGTTCGCAAATAGATAATTTGCAAATGGCCCTCAAAATTCGATGTTTATGGTGAACTCATCGAATAATAAAAAAAAGGGTTCGTTCACCATGACAAACTGGAGATTGCTCTCAATGATGGTGAACCCCTCTCGCAGAGTCGCTTCTCTTCTTTTTAACCATGTCAGAAAAGAATATGTGAAATCAAATTATATTGCCAATGAATTGATATAGTTCATTTTAATCGCAATTTATTAAAACAAATTCAAAACAAGTTAAAAACAAATTGGCGCCAAAATAGTAAATATTCGGCCATTATAGGGTTGCCAATGTATCTATTTATGATATTCGATTATTATATTATTAATAATTATTGTGTTTTTATATATATATTTACTTGCTCATATTTAAGATGAGTCATTTGCATTTTCCATAAATTAGTATTAACCAAGTTAAAAAAAAAGGAAAAGTATCGAGTACTAGTTGAAATTCAAAACAAAACTAAAAAATATTACTGAACTGAAATTTAAAATTCATAATTTAATTAAAAAACCAAAATGATTAAAATAATAAACTATGGTGTAATTATTTTATGTTTGCATTTGTTTATTTATAACTAAAATTAATTCTTTTTTCTCAGAATATAAATTTTTATAACAAGGATGAGTCGTCGCCGGCGAAGTAAGGCACTGATAAACCAGTGGAGACTGTCCACATGGGGAGCCAGTGGCCGAGCTGTAAATTGGGGCCATTGCCTGGGAGGAGATCACAGGTGGAAGGAGATGGAAGATGGACGTAGAGATCAGCTACGCTCGCGGGCTCCGTTTAAATCTAAATTTCTGCTCGAAATTGCCCAATACTGGCACTCGTTCTTGTCTTTTTTAGAATCCACTAGCCTGGTCACTCTAAATGGCATATGTTTATCAATCGGGTGTATATGGAAGGAAAATGTGAAGTCGTCTCTGGAAGTAGCTGAACGCGCGTCCCACTTGTCAGCCGGCAATACATAATAAAATATAAAAAAAACATTGTGTTTTTTTGATATTTGTGCCACCTCTATGTGACCAATTCATTAGTGTAATTTTCATATAAGGAATATTGATATTTTGGAATAAAATAAACAGCACTCCAAGCAGGCTAAGTTTTCGAGACGTTTCCCGTTCAAATCAAAAATCCGGTTCGCGTGAAAAGTTTACATATTTTCCACAGCTCCGCGGAGCAAACAGCAAACAGACACCCAAAATCACACAAAAGTACACTGACACAAACAGACGCAGCCTGAAAGGAGCCCCACCAAGGGAGAAGTGTCGATCGGGAGTGCCACAGCTCCGGAGGCAGTAGCACCATGTCTCCCGCCTTCCTGACGCTCATCGCCGTATTCGTGTGCATCCTGTTCCGGATATTGAATGTCCACAGCCAGCCCCTGAAGCCCAGTGTGTGGTGCTTGGACCCCCAGTTCCTCGACTGCCTCTACAAAATCGCACCCGTACTAAGGGAACCGTAAGTAACGCCTTCCGTCAAATGGACCCACCGGTATTAGGGATTGTTTAGGTTTTTTCCATAAATATGTATGGAGTATGTCACACCCACCCACACAGGCGCACTGGAACCAGGCGAAATCTTAACTCGGGCACATACAGATGTGCCCGTAATAACAGCACACCCATCAATTACAGTCTTTACAGCAGAGGCCGTTAAAAAAGTACATCAAATGTGAAAAAAAGACAAATATTTACCAAAATGTTGGAGATGATAGTTAGATGAGATGACCCCCTTGATAGTTATTTATAAATATTCTTTCATAAGTTGTAGTTATCTGTATATTAGTCACTTTTCTTCGCTATTGATACTACGGCCACAGCAAAATATTAGTCGACCAGGCAGCATAATTGCCAATGTTATTAAACAAATCTGCAATTACTTCTGATTATCGCAAATGGCTAATTTACTATTATACTGATGTGTATGATATATTGTTTCGGGCATTCTGTCGAATTCCCAGCTGCTAAACAATGAATCATTAATGGCAATTAGTCAATAAACCTTCTGCTGGAAATTATTTTAAACTCTCCTTCATAGTCGGTGAATACATTTGCGATTAATAAAGTCTAGTGGTATTCTATAAGTTTTATTCGCTATCAGCGCTGGCTGACACATGCCTCTCGATACAGACTTGTTGCTTTACGAGGTTTCCATTATCGGCGAAACAATAAAACCCTTAACCGCAGGGTGGGCTCTTCCTGTCACAGGTTAAAAATATTCTAAGGTTATCGCGGGAAAATATTTAATTAAAAATACATAGTCACACATGAGAGGGCAGGTTATCAGAGTAATGAACCTAAAAGACAAATATGTTTATGGTTTTATTTTTGTAAATATTTATTTTGTACAAAATGGACACCTGGACTAACTTTTTCCTTTGGCTGTGGACACGCGCCTGGAAATTTTTCCGCCTTTACTTTTCTTTGCGCTAAATCTGTGAAAGCTTTTGGCAATTTTTGCTTTTTTGTCCAACCGCATGAGTAAATGGAATTCAGATTAATCTTTTTTTAAAATTTCAATTTATTTTACTGTGTGTCTGGCAGAAGAGGCGATAAGGAGTAATAAAAAGAAATCCAGGGCAAAGTCCGGCCCATTATTACGCAGTTCGGTAGGAAGCTAGAGACGTTAACTAACGCCTAGCAACCATAATCGCGAGGGGGTAATTCCAAGATATACATAGTTCAGTGTAGTATAGAAAGAAGTGCCGGCAACACGTAGCTGTAGCCATATAGACCCATTCAAATGCCGGCAATACCTGAGAGTGTTTTGGTTTGGCGCAGTGCCCACTCGGCTGCCGCTTTGTTTGACAACAAAGATTGCGTAAGAAATCGGCCCGGCTGGGGAGATAGTTTCATCCCCTCTCTCCTGGTGACTGGTCCAAATCTTGAAACCGGTTGGAAGATGAGCTCAGTTCTTAGCTAACTAATGTCTTTTTTGGAGGTGCTCACGCTCCCATGTCGTGATCAGGTGAAGTCAACCCCAAAGCTAACAATGTAATAGTATTGTTGACAAGAAAAAGGTACTTTTCCTTAAAACGATGATCCATTTTGTTATGCAATAGAAACTACATAGTAGCTCGCAAATTGCACAGCTCATGCAACCAGTGGTTTCTAGTTTCATAGCCACCACTGTTTTTAGGTGATTACTGCAAGGGGTGCGACATTCAGAATGCTACGATGAGTCATCCAGACTGATGTTTACAATATTTGCATGCTTTTAACTTTTATTGTCGTTCAAACATTTCATATGTGTGTGAAAGATACAAAATGACAGTTGTTCTTTGTAGAGGAGTGGAAGACTCCCCCTGACGACTTGAAAGTTCTTCACACATCAATACCTCACCTTTTGAGGTCGCATATTGATTGATGTTTGGAAATTCATGTTGGACTCTTATAAAAAATGTATCAGCTGCAAGCTGGGTTAGTTCCCAAGGGAGGCAGCCCCTTTCCATGCACTCTTCACTTGTACTTTGATTGGTCATAATTGAATGGCCACCGTTACTGGGCACACACATCTGAATACACAAATTTGTGGCACGTTTTTGCACGGCTGACACTGAAAAAATTGCATTAGATCGTTTTATTTCTATAAACTATATTTATATTTCGTTGAAAACAATTTCAGCGGATCTATTTCAACTAAATACATGATTTTTAGCAGAACACGTGACTGCGTCGTGATTTTTCCCCATGCATCTTCCCACCTAAATAAAGACTGTATTGTTGCGTGCCCAATTAGGTTCAATTGGCTCTAATGCCGTTCCCTTGTCTGTCTATTAGCTTATATTTAGCTTGGTTTTGTAACTCATCCCATTGAAAATCAGAATCCAATTTTAATGTGGTCAAAATTGGCAAATTGCCTGCTAACAGACTGGATATATTTACTTTAGCTGCCATATTTCAACACACAATGTCAAGGCTAGAAAAAAAAAAGAAAATAGAAAAAAAATTGGTTTGCATCGGCCGGGAATCGAACCCGGGCCGCCCGCGTGGCAGGCGAGCATTCTACCACTGAACCACCGATGCTTGTGTATGGATGGCGGCAAAGTTACCAGTTCTACCTTCCCAACTATCTCCAGTGGCTAGTCAGACCAAACGAATGGGTGCTTTTATATTTGTTTTTATCAAATAAGGTTGACTGATTAGAATTATATGAATAACACTCGTATAACACATAACAGATATATAATCAAAACTTCTTGTGGGGAAATAAATTTGGTGTATAAACCTAAAAATTTGTACATGAATCTTTTAGATATGTCCCACCACGGCTTTGGGGCTTCAGTGGTCATGTCCAGACCGTTTTGCACAGCATTGTGGGCCGAGTGCGCTGTCCTTGGCCTTTGGGCGAGCGCGTTTATCTGTCCCTGCAGGATGGCTCCACATTAACCTACGACTTGTACCAGCCACTCAACGAGCATGAACGTAAGTAGCGAGGTTTCACAGAACCCTATGAAGGTGCTAACAGGGTTTTCCCGCTGCCCTTAGATGACATCACAGTGGCCATTTGCCCAGGCATAGCCAACAGTTCGGAATCGGTCTATATTCGTACTTTTGTCCATTTGGCCCAATGCAATGGCTATCGCTGTGCGGTACTGAACCACATTGGAGCGCTGCGCAGTGTCCAAGTGACGTCGACGCGGATTTTTACGTACGGACACACGGAGGACTTTGCCGCCATGGTGGAGCACCTGCATCAGAAGTACCAGCAAAGTCGGATCGTGGCAGTAGGTTTCAGTCTGGGCGGTAATCTGGTGACCAAGTACATGGGCGAGAGCCAGAAGACCAAACCCAACAATGTCATCGGAGGGATATCCATTTGCCAGGGCTACAATGCCGTCGAGTGAGTTGTGTTTGTAACTTTTAAAGAGGGACTTTTGACCCATATATCATCTACTGTAGGGGCACCAAGTGGCTACTGAACTGGCAGAACTTCAGACGCTTCTATTTGTACATTATGACGGAGAATGTGAAGAGCATTATCTTGAGGCACCGCCATGTCCTGCTATCGGATGAAGTAAAGGCCCGCCACAACCTCAACGAGCGGGAAATCATCGCCGCTGCTACTCTGCCAGAACTAGATGAAGCTTACACGAGGCGTGTCTATAACTTCTCTTCCACTCAGGAGCTGTACAAGTGGAGCTCTTCATATTTTTACTTGGAAACCATTCAGAAGCCCATGATTTTCATTAATGCCAAGGACGATCCATTGATTCCGGAGGACTTGCTGAATCCCATTAAGGAATATGCAAGTTAGTATTAACACTTTTCATAAATAATTTTTTGTTTTCTTTTGGTAATTTTATTTGCCGCCAAATTTTGAAGACGGTGGAATGTCAGTGTTGTGAAGCGTCGACGTGTGCAACGCGCAGAAGCATTCCTCAGTTTCCAATCGGCATTAGTCGGCACATTGACCAAGCTTCACAACAAGCAGTCGTGGCCGAGCGGTTAAGGCGTCTGACTAGAAATCAGATTCCCTCTGGGAGCGTAGGTTCGAATCCTACCGACTGCGATTTGGCTTTCTTTTTTTTCTTTTTATTTTATTTTTATTATTGTTATATTGAATATTTTATTTCTTTTCAGGCACTCGACAGAATGCGGCATACGTTGAAGTTGCCCATGGCGGCCACCTGGGCTTCTATGAAGGCGGTTTCGTTTATCCGAATCCCGTGACCTGGCTGGATCGTACATTAGTGGCCATGGTGGGATCGTTGGTCATGATGCAGGCCGATGTCGGCAAGGTGGCTAATTGAGTCACCAGTTTGTCCATGCGCACACTCTAACTACACGACTCTATTAAATGATTTTGTGTCAAAATTGGTTGTCGCAGCCGAAAATGAATCTTGAAGAACGTCGAGTTGAGGCCGATCCAAGAACAACCCATACATATAGTTATACCATATATTGATGTAAAGCAAGTAAAAATTATCAGCCGCAGACGCAAAATTAACAAGAAATTGATGTACACTTTAAAAAGTGCATTTAAAACCGAGAAATCGCCGTTTTTGCTACGCCGTTTTGAGATCGTTTTGGACAATAGTTTTGTAAGGTTTTTGCAAATTTTGGAGCAGCCAAACATTCACGATATATCAGTTTTACTGTACCTTAGTTAGTTCATGCAAGAAACATATAACAATGTACTTATGTATAAGAAAATTCCTATTTATTAGCATTTTGATTTGTGATCTAACATGTTTTAATTATGTATGTATATTTTGATACGAGAAATGTACACGACGCACCGGACACACAAATTGATGTACAACAGTAATTATAAATTATAAGTAACTCCCGCACCATACCATGAATAATTAATAGAAACAAAAATGCCTTATTGTAGACTTCGTTTTATAAGTGTATGACCGCATTATTTAAATTATTTATTTTGTACTACGATGCATTTCACGAAATCAACCAAAAGAATAACCAAAAGGAATTTCGCCCATCGATGGCTACGATTTTTTTTTGTACGTTTTCTGATCTTTACCATGTTGATAGTCAAATAAAATGCGATTTGTTTACCCATGTAATAGAAGTATACTAGAATATTTATAAATGTATTTGTGAATGTATTTATAAATGTACAATTCAATAAAGAACAGTTAAATACAAGTATTACCTTTTATTTGAAAATGAAAAGCTTATATGTAAGTTCTCTTCCACAATTTTCATAAGATCTGGCAGCCTTGTTTCCATTTTACATTTTGATGTCGAGAACAACATTATTGGGAATATGACGTCGTCACTCACAAGCAGTCGTGGCCGAGCGGTTAAGGCGTCTGACTAGAAATCAGATTCCCTCTGGGAGCGTAGGTTCGAATCCTACCGACTGCGAAAATAGTTGACTTTTTTTTTATTCTTATTTTTATTTTGTAAAACTGTCTAAAATTAATTTCATAATATCATAATCATTTTTGAAATTTGCAGAAGAGAGTAGGACATTTTTCGCGGCAACAGCAATTGATGCCACATTTGTAGTTTTGTGCCTCGCACGTGTCTTTAGTCCACGGAAAACTCAGATAACCTGTGAAAAAAACCATTATAGGCGAATGAGATTCTTATAAGCATATCAACTCACGGGCATAGCCTTTGGATAACCTCTCCGCGTTTTTGGATTGCAGCTGGCAGTCACTCAGAAAGTTGTAGGTGAAGGGCAGGTTTGTGACGTTGCCCATTCCGCAGTGGGTGTCCAGAAGACAGCGCCATCTTGCCGTATCGTTGCAAGGACCACTTTCCTGATCATTTTCAGCCGTGTAGCGGCAATGGGGTCCACAGCAGGTATTGTCCCTGGGCGGAAGAGGGGGCTCTGTGACACCATCATCCACGCATCCGTTCTTTCCCGTGTATGTTTGGCAGAGAGTCTTCCAGGGACACTTTACCCGGCATGGCTCACTCAAGACTACGAGAAGGCAGGAAAAGAAGTGAAAGATAAGCAGGTTGCGTGTGGCGCCCATGGTAGCTAGTAACATCGTACGGAATGAACCCTGATTGCCTTCTTATATACCCTGCCACTAGGCCAAGAGCGTGAAATATTTGCACAACTGTTGAGCAAAATTGTAAACTTCTTCCATCGGCGGACTATAAAAGGAGGTTTCTTGGATCACTCTTGATTGAATATAGTTCGCTATGGGCTTCCAAATTCTACTAGGCGTGCTGCTCCTTTTTGTCGCCTCAAAGGAAGGCCTGTCCCACAAGAAGGATCTCTGTCCCGTCGTCACGAACAACTGTTCCCTTTGCAAGGGCAACACCACACACATGTGTGTCTGCGATTTCACCTGCTCGGGTTGGGACAAGCCCTGCAACTGGGTGGTCAGTTGCCAGGCACAAATCCAGGACATCAACGACATTCGCAGAAACAAGAACAAGCTGAGTGAGTCCACTTATCAATACTTCCAATGTTAGACAATTAGATTGTTCTCTCATCTTTTCCAGTCATTTTCATTCTTCCCAACCGGAGCTATAAGCAGTGCCTGGAAATTAATGTTAACACTCATAAGCACAGGAATTGCTGTAACTTGTTCTGCAAAAACGGCACAAGGGATGTGTGCTTCTAAATAAATAAATCATATTTTAAAGTTTAAATTTACAAATTTTAAATAAAATTTAATTTTAATTTTCATGAAAATTACTGAATGGGCTGTGGGACTAACACCAAAGGGCAAAAAACAAGTTACAAATTCAAGAACTAGGAAAATCAACCTTCAATTCTTTAATACTTTTTCAAAGAAAAAAATTTATTGAGAGCTTTACTTCTGTAATAAAACTCGAACTTCGCAGATACTGCTATTCATTTAATATTCAATTTTGAACATTAAATATAATCGGCTTACTGTTGAACTAGATAATAACAGAATTGATAATTCAGAAGAAATTATCTTCGAATTCATAAGTTATATACATATGTACATATGTATACTTGTGAAAGGCATAAATATTCAACTTGATGTACCCATGTCCGTCTGTCTGTCACGTAGGTCTCAGAGACTTCACAGAGTTTATATTCATTGGATGGTTTTTAAAGAAGTTCTAGACTGAAAGATTGGTAAATTGGTTTTATATTAAAACTTTCATAAGAATCGATTTACTATATCTATATCCTATAACTACAAGGGCATATTAACTTCGGCTCCGCCCGAAGTTTGCTTTTGTTGTTTTTTATAAAAAAAACTCATTATATTTCAAGGTTCTCCCTAGTACTTACACACGTGCCACTGCAACATTTTTACTTTGAACTTTCAAGAGCTGTTTATGGAAGATTAAGATTATTAAATAATTAAAGTTCACACATTATTTGCGTATGTGCACACATGGCACACAATTCTTTTTATTGTTAAAATTATTTATTTAACTGTTTTTGGCTTAAAAGTATGGTGACCTTTGGCATACATTTATCAATATTATTGATTTTTTCGAAACGTTTCTAAAAATATAATTAATAAAAATTCAAATAAACAGTAAAGGATGAAAAAGAAAGGATGGCTATAGTCGGGAAACTCGATTCGGCTTTAGCGGAGTTTTCCGACTATATTACTCATACTCAACTTACTCATCTTTTCCACCCACACTTTAACTACCTTTTAAAATTTAAACTTTAACGGCATGAATTTTCGGAAACAATTTTTGTTGCATATTTTTGCGCTACCTTCGGCAATACTACCGATTCAGTAGAAACAGATTAAAAAGGCTATAGCTCCTCTAAAAATTATCCACTTTGGCTCCTTTTCGCTACAACGAGATTTCTGTTTTATATACTATATATCTGTAGGTATATGTCTTCCAAAAGTCGGCCGATTGAGATGCTTTTTAGATATACATATATTAAGTATAAAAATAGTTTGGCATCAAAAGTTTTTCAAAATTTCTAGTACCGGCGATACAGAAATTCACGATTTGTGGGGCCTGAAGGAGGCGTGGAAAATATGTGAAACAAACTTGAACTGCGTGGGCATCTCTTATGTATAAGTAGTTTCTGAGATCCATGCGTTCATATGAACAGACCGACGGACGGATAGACGAACTTGGGTATATCGACTCGGCTGGTGATGCTAATCAAGAATATATATTGATTTGAGTTCACGTGATCAATAGATTTAAGATTTGATTGTGAGCGTGGCACTGCCCATTTTTCCCTGAAAACATGAAAAAACATTCTCAATTCCCTTGAAAATGAAAAACATTCTAACTCAAAAACTAAGCTAGATATTTCAATTTGGTTTTTATTTAGTGTTTTGTAAAGCCATAGTCTTCTTTTGGCAAAGTAGGTGTGGTTATTTTTTTTGTAAATTAAAAAATCTTTTAATTTTTATACCCTTGCAGAGGGTATTATAATTTTGTCCAAAAGTGTGCAACGCTGTGAAGGAGACATCTCCGACCCTATAAAGTATATATATTCTTGATCAGGATCACCTCCTGAGTTGATATGAGCATTTCCGTCTGTCCGTCTGTCTGTCCGTCTATCTGTCTGTTTCTACGCGAACTAGTCTCTCAGTTTTAAAGCTATCGTCTTGAAACTTTGCACACACCCTTCTTTCCTTTGCAGTATATAAGTCGGAACGGCCCGGATCCGCCGACTATATCCTATAGCTGCCATATAACTGATTGATCGGAAATGGCCCAACTTTCGTGTTTTTGAAGATAGAAGTTTGGGACATTTTTAGGTTTTGTATTATAATAAATTGGGTTATATTATCATATTCTTATAAGGATCGGCCAACTATATCCGATGTTTGCGATATATATCCGGTTTAACTGCAAGAATATATAAACTTCGGCTCCACCCGAAGTTAGCTTTGCTTTTTTGTTAAAAATTAGATTTAATTCTATAAATTTTCTTGCTTGTTTGCTTTGCTACTTACATTTTCGATTTTTTAAAAGGACAACACAAGTTTTTTGGACACTTCACATACACAAACACATAAAACAAACCCCAATGAAAAGTATTCATTTCAAAACTTTTGATTTTACTATTCGGGTTTTAAAATCGCACCCAAAATCGTAAGTTTTAAGCTCATGTAAATGTAAACATCAACAGCTGTGTTCAATATAATAGCTGATTTCTTCGCAGTGGCTCCATCTATTGAAATTTATAGTATGCAACATTTAAAATTTATCTATTGTGAATGATATGCAGTTAAAATTATTTAAATTGTTTAACTTTTAAAAAATGATTTTATGCTAGAAAAAGTGGTCAAATTTCCTATCATGCAATATACCTTTCTACTCTACGAGTATGGGGTATAAACAAAATTTCCAGAATCCTAGGACAATTTTCCAGGATAGGATGAATCGTAGGTATATAACAAGTGTTATTATCGAAAGGCTCGTCAAAACTTTCAGACCATTGTTAAATAAAAGATAACTTTCCTTTGACTTTATTCAGTGTCACAGTTAAAACCCAAAGATCCTTGAACACGATCCATATTTCAGTTTCCGTTTCGAGGGGATCAGGAAGAGAGGATTATTAGAGAACCACATTTCATACAAAAACAAGAAAGGAAAGCTAACTTCGGGTGGAGCCGCAGTTGATATACTCTTCAGTTAAAATCGGATATACATCGCAAACATCGGATATCGGACGATTCCTTTGAGAATATTATTATTAAACCAATTTATTGCAATACATAATCTATGAAAAAATCCCAAGCTTCTGTCTTAGTATACCAATATTAGTATACCAATGTTAGTATTTTTACCAAATACCATTTCCGATCGTTCAGTTATGTGGCAGCTATAGAATATAGTTGGCTGATCCTTATGAAAATTGATAGGTCGAATTATTTTGCCTATACGATTCACAAATAGCATTTATGCGAAATTCGAACTCTCTAACTCTAAAAACACCAAAGTTATACCGATCAGTCGGTCGATCCCGGTGGATTTCGACTTTTATACTGCAAATAAAAGAAGGTTGTGTGCGAATTTTCAAGTCGATAGCTTTAAAACTGAGAGACTAGTTTGCGTAGAAACATACAGATGAACAGACGGACGGCGGACAGACGGACATGCTCAACACAACTCAGGAGATGATCCTGATCAAGAATATATACCTTATAGGTTTCGAGATATCTCTTTCTCTGCGTTGCACACTTTTGATCAAAATAATTATACCCTCTGCAAGGGTATAATGAGGATGGGCCCATTAATGAGCCAAGACTGGAAATCAGAGGTCATTCAAAAAATTGACGATGCTTGGCCGAGAGTCAGACATAATTTTGTCGATATACAAATTTTGGTTAGGCATCTCCAATTTTATATGGGAAACAGACTCGAATACGGTCAAATATGTAGCAAGAGTTGGTGAGGACATAAAGGTAGTAGAATACCTTACGACATTTTTATGGAGCTTTTAAACCAAGGACTTAAGTCAGCCTTGGACGGTTTAAAATTTTAAAATTACAAACTGCATTTTATTTAAAATATAGGAATATAGTTCTCTTTTGAGGACTTTAACATTTCTGGAAAAATAAACCACGAAAACCCCCCATTTTCTTACTTAGAGATGGAAATTTAATGAATCAAATGTTTTGCTTTAATCAAGTTTTAATGAAAACGTATAATTGGGTTTCTTCCATTTCTGATTTAATCAACATTTTGGTGGAGGAGGTGTAGAAAATTTACAGAAACGCTTGGGACACATTTCACGGCAACAGCAATTAATACCGCACTTAAAATTTTTGGAAATGCAGGTTTCGTTGCACCAGTTATCAATACTCAGCAGTTCTAAGGAGATTGGAATGTGATTCAATAGAAAGTACTTTTTTTTTTTTAGATTTTTACTCACGAGCATAGCCGTCTAACTTCCTTTGTGCGTTTTCCTTTGCCAATTCGGAGTCTGTCAGGCATTGGTAACTGAAGGGCAGCGTTGGTTTTCCCTTCCCGCAACTGGTGTCTAGAATGCATCGACATTTTTTTTCTTCGCAGCCGCATGGAGGAGGAGTCGCTGGGGGTTCCAGGGCCGTGTAGCGGCACTGGGGACCACAGCAGGTGTTGTCCCGTGGCGGGAGCTTTGGCTCCCACTTCCCATTGTCGACGCAGCCATTCAATCCTACGTAGGACTCACAGAGACTTCTCCAGGGAGAAATGACCCGGCATCCTGAAACCGAAACGACCAGAAGGCAGGCCAAGAATTGGAGGATCAGCAGGCTTCGTGCGGCACCCATGTTGATGGAAACTTACTGGTTAATTACCAACATAAGTCCTCCTTATATACCCTGACCCGCTAAAAATAAGCCAAATGTTTGCGCAATTGTTTACCAGACAAAGTTAAAAATAGTACGTTGTCTCCATTGGTAGACTATATAAGGCGATGCCTGGCTCCAAACTCTATCGAGGTCTTTTCGCGATGGCTGCTAAAATTATTTTGGGCTTGCTGCTGCTTTTTGTGGTTTCGGAGAAGGTCTTGGCCTGCCAACAATCACTGTGTCCTGTCGTCAATAATTGGAACTGCCTGTGCGAAGGCAGGGCCGCCCATGTCTGCGTCTGCGACTTTACGTGCTCGGAGTGGGATAAGCCCTGCAACTGGGTCGTCTCTTGTCGGGCTGAAGTCGACAATATTAACGCATGGCGCGGTCGAAAGAATAAGCTTGGTAAGAACTGAAAATATCGGACCTTTCAAAAGAGTTTTCTTATCCTTGATGTATTTAATTCCAGATCTTTTGTGGCTTCCCACCCTCTGTCATGAACAGTGCTTGAAGGTAAACGAAGACACGCATAAGCGTATAAACTGCTGCAACCTGTTTTGTCAACAAAACGTCACAGATGTGTGTTTCTAAATAAATGTTCGATTCCTTAATTCAAACCAGCACCCATACATTTCGGTTTTTATTATTTTCTTCATCTGTAAGATATTCCTCGATTGTAAAATCTAAAAATATGCCTCCACTTGTAAGCCTGTGAAAGCATGTTACCGATGGACGATCCATATTCTTAGAAATAATTTCTATATTAATAATTATAATTTCTGAATTAATTTAAACAAGAAAGGAAATCTAACTTCGGGTGGATCCAAAATTGATATACTCTTGCAGTTTAAACCGGATATACATCGCAAACATCGAATATAGTTGGTCGACCCTTATGAGAGTATCATAATACAACCAATTTATTACAATAAAAAAAACTTAAAAAATATCCCAAGCTTCTATCTTTAAAAATACCAAAGTTGGTATTTTTACCAAACACCGATTCCGATCTTTAAGTTCTTTATGATAGCTATAGTCGGCCGATTGTTTGGTAAAATTTGGTAGGTCGAATGAACTGACGATAAATAGAATCTGTACAAAGTTCCAGCTTTCTATATTAAAAAACACGAAAGTTGGGTCATTTCCGAGTGTTTAGTTATATGGCAGCTATAGGATACGGATAAGGCCGATTCTTATAAAATTTCGTTCATAATTTGATCGTATTATTTTGACAAAAGTAGCGATCACCAAAAATCACAGCTCTCTAACTCTAAAAACACCGAAGTTATACCATTTCCGATCAATCAGTTATATGGCAGCTATAGGATATAGTCGGCCGATCCCGGCCGTTCCGTCTTATATACTGCTTGCAAAGGAAAAAAGGGTGTGTGCAAAGTTTCAAGTCGAAACAGACAGACGGACATGCTTATATCAACTCAGAAGGTGATCCTGATGAAGAATATATATGCTTAATAGGGTTCACTTTTTTGTCCACTTTTGGACAAAGTTAAAATACCCTCTGCAAGGGTATCAAAATATGGCATTTCGGTTTTAATATACATAGTTTTTTTTTTTTAAAGGATCAGTAAAACAAAATAGACTCGAAGAAAGTCTCAAACATTACCGACGACCATAATACCAGATTATATGTAAATATGGGTATTATAATCAGCAAAAGTTCTCAAAAGAATCGGAATTTAGGCAGCATCCGGGCTACTACCATGCTCGAGTATTCGATTTTTTGGTGACTCGATATTGAAATTATATAATACTTATATAACTCTTAAGGACATATTTAGATGCTACATAGTAAACTACTAATACTATATTTTTCAGTGTTTACTTGTACGAAATTAATTTCGATAGACAAAATTCAGTGTTAATTGAGATTACTTTAACGCGTAATCGTTTTGTTTATTTTGAAAAGTAAAGGGAAAATACGAAACTTAACGCGGGAGCAAAATACTTTTACTTTTTGTCAGAGAAAAGTAATTTAATTTTAATTTAATTTAAACAGTAATTCACTTTTTAAACCAAACGGAGCCTTCCTGACAATAAAATAGTCAGTAACAATTAATAAATTATTGCCCACTAAAATTATTAAAATTAAAAATATACAATATTGAAGGTGTCGAATGCTCAAAATAAATAACGTCGAAATAAATAAAAATAACTTTAAATTGTTTGTATGGGAATGTTTTAAGCACTATGTTTACTTGTTTTCCCTCAATGTTTGTACAAGCCTTTAATGTGGATCACTGAAGTTCAATGTCGAGAATAATATGTGTATTCTTTCTTCCCAAAATTTGCACAGATGCCTACGGCAAAAATTATTTTTTATCTCCTTTATAAGAAACCAAGCTTTTATTGAATGGAATTTTTTTTGCAAAAATGACCTAAATATTCCATTTAGAATTATTCCTTTAAGATTGAAAATAAATAAAACCGTTTGTATGCCAAATATTTTCTTTTTATTCAATTAGTTTACACATAGACCATGTCCACATACATTATTCTTATTCAATAGTTTTTACTATTAATTTATTTATTTTTAGCTACTTAGATTTGTATGGTGCTTGATCTACTATGTATGTACAGTATTTAGTTAATTAACACTAAATGCAATCTTAGTCGATATTATTAGTTAGTTAATCCTGGTTGACTAGTTCAAGTCGTACATCAGCTTCTCGGCATTGTTGGGTTCCTCGCAGTCGAATGAAGCCATCATTAATTCTGAAAAAAGAGAAAACAAAACACTTTAGTTAGTTGATAGAAATAATTCCCATAAATTGTAACAAGAATGGCTCCAGTTACGTTGTTGTGTCCAACTAAAAATCCGTAAAATAACAAAGATGTTGTTTGAGTTTCTGTGTCCAGTTGGCTGAAAGAGACACTCAAGCGTAGACAGGGCTCAAGGACTATACCCAAAAACACCCACAAGGACACACAATCCAAATTGTCCGAAAAATCTCAGTGATGCGTGCTAAAATGTTTGATTTTTCCCCCTTCCGAAGGCTACATGTTTTTGTGATGAAGCCTAAATCTCTTTTGCAAGTCTTTTGTTAAATTCTTCGTGTTCTGAAATTTAGACTTTTCTATGCTTTGAAGTTTATCATTTTGTTCTATATTTCCATGAGTCACTTAGGGGTATTTTTAAAATCGACTATAGAGAATTAAAATGTCGTTGTTGTCCAGACAGTACGGCACGTGTTCGATTTCTGGCTTCGGGGGCTTTTTTTTAAATTGTTTTTTGTTAGAAGGCACGCGGAAAGAACCCAAACTGCGAATACATTTGAAATTGATGATCCCAGAGGGTGTTTAAAATGAAAACTTCTTTAAAACATTGGTTATCGAAAAGGCAGTAATAGTTGTGGTTTTTCAGGTATACATATATAGCTAGGCTGTCTAATGCTTTCTTCGGTGGCTTTAATGTATGAATTCAAACTATGAACTATGAAAAATAAAGAATGTGAAAATTTCATAGTCCTAACTTAAAAAACTTAAGCTCGGAGTCACTCCGGGATGGGGTTAACTTGTGGTCAAGTGCTGACAAGTGTGGGGGGGCTCTTTGAGTTTTTTGTTCATTTTTTCTGGGCAACAGCCCACTTGCATTTTAAAAGAAAATTTAATAAAGTTGTAGGGAAAAAGGAGGATTTTTCTACATGAATGGATGGGAGGCGGGAAACGGATGAGTGCGGGAAGGGAGGCTCCAATTCACACCATGGGGCCATTAAAATTTTACAATGTTTGGGAACAGCCTCGTTTGGTCAGCGCTTTCGGCCAGCAGATGTGCGCTTGACTTGCCACAAAATGCGGCAGGTCCTGCATCCTCCACATATCTCGGAGATCCCCTCGTGCTGTGTGTGTGTTTATGGGATTTGGTTCACGTACTCTGTCGCTTGAGCACAAAAAATTACAAAACATCCGCTCCGAACATGGAATGAAAATTTTTCAAGTTCTGCCTGAAGCCAAGTCCGCCACCCTCGGATGAAGAAATGTTGCCTTTGGTTATGGAACATGGCGAAGACCCTGGCTCTGCTCTGCATCAGTTTTTTCCCCACTCGGGCTTTTCCCATTTTTTGCTTGTGGATTGTGCCCGGCCCTTTTCTTTCCACGCACTTGTTTAGTTTTAATGGAGTCGTGTGTGGCGTGTAAATATTTTCCCCTGCTGTGGGCCAGCTGGAGATTTGTGAGGCTGGCCGGTTCGGTTTGGCTGGGTTTTTGGTTTGGTTAGGTTCCACTCTTCTCTCCTGCCAACTTGTTACTTAACGGAAGTAAACATGTTCCGCCCACACGGCTTCTAACGAGCGGTTAAGAGGCCGGAGTCTGTTTGAGATACCGGAACATAAAGGTTCGATCTTGGAGAGGGCGAGGAACCCAAGCCACAGGTTGATTGCAGTCTCATTTCCATTTTTATTGTTTGTGGTTATTGCAGTAAGACTTAATAAGCTTCTCAACTTTAAAATCAGTTTTAAAAATTAAAAAATCTCCTATTCGTTTTCTAGAAATAGTATTTTAATCCTAATAAAATTTATATTTTAGCCATTTAATATCTTAATGAAAGCGAATATGTTTCGAACTTTGAATGTTCAGGATTCTTTTTAGAGGAATATCTATACACTTTCAAATCTAGTTGGAAGGCATTTCTGAAACCTAATCTTAAACGAGTCGAAATTTGAGAGTATGTCGGAACTTCCGTCGTTGCCATAGCTAACCAAAAATAATAAATCTACCCCGGAGAGGATAAAAAATTGTTTTCTCGTCGTTGTACGAGAAATATTTCCTGACTCAGTGAGGCATCAATTACTTGCCTCCAGCTCAGAGTCCAAACAAAAGCCGGCAGCCGTAACTGCTGTAAAATTGTTTTGACTTCAATCCTGATGGACTGAATGGGAGGTGGTCGGGAAGGGGCTCCTCCCCGAAAGAATGACAGACCCGACAGGTGATAGATAACAAGGACAGTCTATGGCCATTTTTACACATCCATGGCAGGCTCCCCTGGAATATATTTCCCCCTCGTGTGATGCAAGAAAGAAAACGAAATCTGCCCACAACTGAATACCAATAACGTCCTGCTGTCAGTTGGCTTAGGATGTGACTCGCCAGGACGAAGTCCGGGGAGGAAGGGCGGCTAGGCTACCCATTGCAGTTCATCTTATCTGTATGTATTTATCTGGAATGTCGGAGCTGTCAAGTCCTTGCTGACAGTGACTAAAACAATATAAATCTGAACAATCTCCACTGTCCAGCCCCCGCAACCCAAAGATTTCAATGAGCGATTTTTTTTAAAAACCTTTTTTTTAGCATAAAAAAATGCATTGGCATTACGTTGTAAGTATTAAGTTTTATATTTATACCCGGTACTGAATATTTTTGGCATAGAGAAGAAATCATCTCCGACCCCACAAACTATTTATATTATATTATATTATATTATATGATTAGCATCAAACGAGTCGATATAGCTATGTCCGTCTGTTCGTCCCTCCGTGTGATCTCAGAGACTATAAGAGATAAAGCTATAGGATTTGGCATTGAGACTCCTACAATGAATCGGTACTATGGCCGTAGGTTTGTTGCTAACAAACAAAAATTTTTGCTGAGAATCCATACCGTTAAAGCTTAAACTTTAAAGGTTAGATAAATTCTGGGTGAAAGAGATGAGTAACGGGTATAATATAATCGGGAAACTGACTATGGCCATCATTTCTTGTTTTTATTTATTTAGTGTGGGGTATGTTGAGTTTCTGAACCCTTCTGAAGTTTCTCACCCTCAAATAAGGGAACCTTTTTCCCTTCTCTCAAAATATCAAAATAAAAATCCCTGTTTAAGGTTAAAGATTAATTTAAAACAGTCGTCGGTACTCAACACGTTCCCAGTGGGCCTACTATCGCCATTTGGCCTTTTGGTTCGTTGCATAAAATACTGAAATAAAATACATCCTTGTACTTTGCAAGCACTGGTTAAGCATCCAACATACATAATTTAAAACCAATAAGCAAGCATTAAATAAAAATGATCAATGATTCACACTATTATTAGCAATTTTCCGCCTAATCCCACAATGAGATTATCGCTATTAAATGCCAACCCGAATGTTGTGCGTGAACATCCTTTCATCTCAAATTCACAAAGTCAAATCTTGGTATTGGAGCAATTTGCACCTGGCATGAAATTTATAATTCAATTTCTTGGCCAAACAATGTGCACAATCGATCTGTGCTGGGCATACAATCTCCCAACGATGATGATGACGAAGGTTAAAATTATTGAATGGCCTGGCCTGCCATTGAACCAGAGATAATTATGCTGTGGTCAAGGATTGCACCTTAATGAATAGTTCAAGCATTCGGCTTTGGCCCCGAATCATTGAACTGGCCTTAATTACCATATCCAGGACCTAATGAGCTCAATTGAAATAACACATGCCTCCAAACACACAAGGACACTCCGGCAAATAGATATAAATTAGTTGAATTTAAATACGCCTTGCCAGGGCGACTGCGATCCTAGTGTTTGAGTTTGCACAAGCATCTAGTGGGAAATTGTTAGGACTTGTTGGCCTGGTTCTGAGCCATCTGCAATGCTCTAGGAACTGGCAATTAACAATTAATTTTAGATTTGAATGGATAACTTGAGGTCTTGGCTTTTGGCACTTATTGTGTTTGATTATTATTTTCGTGCTGGCTTCAAACACATTTTCAGGCCGAAAGATAAACATTTTCATTTTGAAATTCCCATTTACGAAAACATTATTCCAAGAAATTTTCTTCGCACATCCAAATGCAATTTCTGCAAGTTATAAGTCGGTATTTGCGAGATGCCTTCTACTCGTATTTTCCCATTTTCCGTTCAGACGTGTATGCATCCAATAGGCATATCTTCGTTGACATTCTGAGGGGCGGAGGATTCGGGGCGAGGCCTGCCAAAGGATGTGGCAGACGACAAGCCCAGGCCAGGAGGAGGGGGTTTCTTCTGGCGCAGCGTTTGTCCTTTTTACTCCATGTGGCCATTGCCTTCGCCTCCTTTTTTCAGCCATATCGCATGCGGGACACGAGGAGCCGGCCTGGAGTGGCTCCCTGACATAACAATGCTCATGTCTTCATAGCCCCGAGTGTGTATGGTTAGATTTACAAAGCAAACTAAATAAAATAAAAATAAAACGAGAGCTAAAGCCATGGCAGAGCGCCTGGCAAAACAATTAAATGCTTTTGTGATCCTTTGATACGATTTCGAAAGCATTCTTCTGCTCTGGCAACTGGTTGGTTGGAATTTGATTGTCTGCTTGGCGTATTCAGATTTTGATTCTCAAAGTTTTTTAATGCTTTAAATATCTAAAACCCTAAAAAATTAAACATAATAAACCTCAAAAAGAGCAGTATTTATTGTGAACAAAATGAATAAACAAAAAAATGATACTCGTTTTGTTATCCAAGTGCCAACATATGGCTTCAGAAAAATGGGAAAACCCCCTTTTGATAAAATTCTTCTGTGCGTTTTCCTCTGAGTAATTTCTTGGTTGCAATTTCGCAACCAAAGCAACCACTCGACTTAAAAGATACTATTCCCTCGAGCACCTGCGAGAGTAAGCCAGGCAACAGACAATTACCTCCACATTAAGGGCTTGTTATTAAAAAATTTCTGGCATGGCCAACATATTTTCCGAAGGCACTCAGTGGGAAAAATAACAAAGGGGGCGGTAAAGGAAAAGTGTATTTAATTCACTGAACAC